AATATTTTATTTGCCCGTATTCTGAGTAAAAATTAACATTTGTATCCCATGTTGTAGAAAAACATAAAAGAAATTAAATTACACAGATAAAAACAAGATAAACAATTTAAAATAATAAAGGTAGTTTTTTTAAAACAAGAGAAAGATATATATTTGGTTGAGTTAAATAAAATAAAAATAAAAAACTTTTAAAATGTGGTTCATATTTTTACATTCCCTAAACAATACATTGAGATCCCTCAAGCTCATAGATGAGAAACCTCAGAGACTTTATCCCTTGGACTTCATAGAGCTCATCTTTGAATAATCTCTCATTTGGCTCATTTAAATTTCTCACAGCATCAAATTTCTCATTGGAGATCAGATCTTTTTCCTGGAGTTTGTCTAGAACGGCTGCTGCCTCGCTCACTGTCCATCAGAGCTGTTGAATGGCGATCCACGAAATGCTGCCCAGAAAAATAAAAAGCAAATGTAAAACATAACAAAACACAGTAATGCTCTACATTATAGTCATGAAAAAAGAAGCTGTTTTCAGTTATAAGGTTTTACATATCAGCACCTAATGAAAATCTCCTGGTCTTCACAAGACTGTAAAATTACTGAAACTTTAGATGAACAGCAACATGACGTCATTATTTAGTGGAAAATTAAACCAAAATGCTACATAACTAAGCACACTGCTCCCCGTGCAAGTAAAAGCCAGGTGCTGATACAGAAATGCACTTGATTATTGATAATCAGCATCTCTACGAAAGCAGTCGTTCAGTAGTTTCCTAGTCTGGAGCATTCAGGTGTGTGTTAACACAATTCCAAATAGGAAAGCAATAATAATTTTTAAAAAGACATTGCTGATGTTCTTCAGTCTGGGAAGAAAGATCATTCGCAAACAGAAAACATTCAAGACAGCTTCCAGTCAACACAGGAGTCACTATCCCAGTAAATTCATCCCAGTATCAGAGCATGCCCTGCTCAGACAAACTGCAAGAAACCCAAGAGCTACATCTGAGACTCTGCAGGCCTCAGCATGTTAAAGTTAATGAGAGTACAATTAGAAAAAGACTGCACAAGTTTTGAACAGGCTTTTTTTGGAAAGAGGGAAAATCTCTTCTATCTAAAAAGATCAGAAGTAATGCTGCATGTAAAAAAAAAAAAAAAAAAAAAAAAAAAAAAAAAAAAAAAGCAATATATTTTGGACAGGTGAGACCTAAGTAGGCATGTTTGAACAAAATACCGAGCGTTACATTTGGAGAAAACCAAACAGCATATCAGCACAAACACCTCAAACCAACTGTCGAGCACGGCGGTGGAAGGGTGATGGTTTGGGCTTTGTTTTATAGCGACGGGATCAAACTGGAAATCATGCAAAGAGACAGTGATCCAGACCACAGCGAGAACTTTACAGCAAATGGGTGAAAAAGAAAGACTGCTTTTTGTTTCTCTCAAGTTTGTTTTTAGGTTGTTTCAGAACCCAGTTTTCTTTTTAAAATATGTCTTGATAAGCAACACATAAGATTTGTAAAAGGAATTTACTTTATAAAATAATCATGGATTAAAGCGAACCTCTTACCCTGTTCTTGGTGAATACTTGTGCTTAATAGTCATCTGGAATAAAAGGGCTCAAGCTGGTCAAATACTGGCCTGGTCTAAATACTTTAGATGAGCTACGTTAGGGCAAAAACGTATAAAACACTAACCTGTTCCGATAGTGCACGTCCAGACGGTGTCCTTTTCCTTTCCTCCCCTGCGCTCAACTTCAAGTTTCAGTTTTAAGTTTCCGAAGTCGCTTTTCACATTTCCAATGACCACCTCAAAGAAATTAGTGTCGCTCCACTCCAACATGAACTGCTGTTTCTGTAGACAAAACATTTTATGGAAACTTGAGGATTTTTGCTGTTTCTATGTTATGG